TGAGTATTCTTGATACGAAACCACGACGACACACACCAGTCGACTCGCATCGGGTTGCCTCCATCTGAAGCCGCACCCGTCGCTAACCCTCGCCCTAGCCCTCGCCGTGCCCCCCGAGTTCGAGCGATATGGACGATATGGTCCGATTACGTGCCGAGCGAGCAGGCGAGGGAGATCGGAGACGATCGGGGAGCACGATGCGTAATTGCCCTCGATGTTGACCCTCCCCCACCACAATTCTCCCCGGACGACGCCGCTCTCGCACCTGCTATGGTCTCTCTCTCGATACACAACACGCTCGCCGACTTGGCAACAAGGGTTGACTCCCTCGCGCTAGGCGACGAACCTGCCCCCGCCCCTCGGGGCGGGGGTCCCCGCCCCCCCGGGGGGCCCTTTGGGCCCCCTCCAGGGGGCGACCCCTCCGGGGAGGCCGGCTTTCCCCGTGCCGGTTCTCCCCAACCAACCCCGCCGGCAGCGCGAGCTGCCGGCCACATTGAGCGGTTCGTCCGCGTCGCGCACTCGTCCCAACCGGGGGCCGCAGACTCGTTCTGCGCGCCAACGGCTGGTGACGCTGTGTTGCCCTTGAGCTAGTCCTTCCCCGGTCGCCTAGCCTCTGCGCTGTCTGGCGAACGCCTGTATGCCATGCGCGCGGAGGGACCACGCTTGCGTGGATACGTGGCTGGCAGGCTGACCCGTGTGCGGGGTAACCCGCGCACGGGGAAGCTTCACGGGTTCGAGTCGCCAAACATTAAGCAGCGGAGGTGTGCCGAGGCAGGGGGACCGGGAGGCGGTAAGCCGTCGTCGCCCGGCGCTGCATGCAGCACCGTGGCGATGGCGCTAAGAGGTTCCTCTTTTCCGCGCCCCCCCCGCAAGGCGCGCGATACAAACACACACACACACACACACACACACACACACACACACACACACACACACACACACACACACACACAGACACACACACACACATATACACACACACACACACACACACACACAGACACACACACACACACACACACACTCACCGGTCACCCACGCGCACCGGGCCTTGCACTTTAAATGCCGTGGGGCTCCTGTCGTTAGACGTGGAGACGCGAGGGTTGCCCCCCCTTGCCCCACCACCTCGTGTGTGTGGAGAAGTTTACCTTACCTTACCTTACCTTACAGATACACAGGCCTCAGGCGCGATATAAAATCTCACCCCTCGGATCGCTTTCATTGTGTTTCGCAACCATGGCACACCTCTCGCACGCGCGTCGTCACGGGTCACACGGCTGGTGTCACTGCTCGAAGGTCGGAGACCCCCATGCCCCATGCCCGCATGCCCTTTTGCGTTTGAGTCATGAGTGATCCCGTCACACGCGGGACACGGGCGCCCCGGCATCCTTGTGCTCGCCGCGCAGATTCGAGGAGAACTCCTCGAGGGCCGAAGACAGTGCCTGTGTCGAGGGCCCCGGCGGCGGCGCCGAATGCGCCGCCTGCGACTCCTCCTGCGTGGTGAGCCAAGCGACCTGCGAGTTGTGGGCGAGTGCCCGCTCGAGGGCGCCGGACGCCGGCGGCATCGGCGAGACGTCCGTGTCTGACGCGACGGAACTAGGCCCCGGCTCGGAATGGTCGGGTGCCGGCAGACGCGACTCCTCCTGCCCGGCCTCGGGCCCGGCGGCTGCAGCCTCGATCGCCTCGACGCGGCGCAGCTCGTCCTCGCTCACGTAGAGCCTGCGAGCCAGGTCGACATTCCCAGCCTACGGTGTGTTGAAAATCGATATCGGG